TATTGTGCTACACCTCAAGCATACACAGCTGAAAATGAGTATCCTAAATGTGAAAATTGTTATGATAAACCTCCTATTTACAAGAGAAAATCATGATTATTATAATAATGTCCTCTTGGTTTATTCTTTTTACTTTAGGTTTCAGTTCTTATACTTGTTTGGTTTAAGTTATTTGTTTAAGAATGATAATAAATAGTGATTCTGTTCTTTTTCTTTTATATTATGCTTCCTTTCTCTTTTTTTGCTTTAATAATGTGAATAATAGCATGATAATCAATTATTTTAATGAATATTAATATCTCCGCCCGCCCGCCCGCATTCTTCCCGCGTATGCAAGGAGAAACAAGAAATCTAATTGGGGTGGCCTTATCAGTTTATCACATTCTGCAGCAAAAAAGTTGTGTTGGAAGCCAGAGACAGTAACTGCAGTCATAGGTTATGTCAGTAGTTGTGGAGGCTTTACAAGCTCACAACTGTGGCATATCTGCCTTCTTAATCTTCCTTGATGTATTTGGAAAGTAGTAGAGACTTCTCTTGCATTCTTGCTGACTCAAGTGAGTGACTTGTAACTTGTAAGGTCAAGAACATGAACTGAGAACAATAAAGAATTGATACTAGCCATTAATTGCAGTACATTAGCCATCAGTAAAAGTCGGGATATTCCAGTATCTTTTTCAATGTGGGCGTGTTTAACATTATACACCACCACACCTACCCACGTGGTGCCACGATGGCTGCATCTGCTAAAAGTTCTGAAGAAAGAAAGAAGTGTCCTTTCTGCCATCTGTCTTACCAGTTTTCATCTTCACTTTCAAAGCATGTTAAGGAGAAACATAGCAATGAGAAAAGCGTCAAAGATTCTCACGTTTTCTGCAATTTATGCGGCTCAATGTAAGTATATTTGAGTATATATACAGTGCTAGAAGTGACACTATTTAATTTAGGGTTTTAAGTGTGGCAAAGCTAATTGAGTATCTTCATCAAATCCACAACAAGGAAATCAAAATAACAAACCATGAATTTCGTTCTATTGATAAGTTTTATGAGTGGAAGAAAGGGGAAGAAAGTCATTCAAAGTCTTTTTATGTCAAGAACAGTGCCAGTCGCATGCAAGGTCTTAACAGGAAATCCTATTATTATTGTAACAGGTCTGGTGTGGTGCGTCAGTCGAAAGAGAAACGTCAGAGAGCTCTCAAGGTTCAAGGTTCCTGTAAAACAAATGAATACTGTACTGCATGCACACATGACAGTGATTGAGGATTTTATTACGAAGATGGTTAAAGTCACT